CACACACACACACGTCACTGGATCAAACACTCCCACTTTCAGCTACAACTAGAAGCCAAAAGTTACCATGTGCTCATGGCCAAATTCAAATTAATATTGTCATTTCTACTGAGATGAGGGTCAAGATTTATTAATTCTTAGTTCAGGAAAGATATGAAACCTATTAACTACATACATCTTAAACACATATATCTTAGTTTCCTTTCCAATATCTTCTTAATCCTGTTTGTGATAAGCTGGCTGTTGTCTCTTAAATTGGCACAGCACTGGGATAGACCAGAGTGACAGAAGTTTAATAGCAAGACACTCGGATCAGGAACACGTTACCCATTTATGGAGCAGTCTACTCTACTTCTCACTATGTGAAACCTCTGATAAATTTTAGGCAAACAGGGAGAAAATTCTCCCTTAAGCACAATAAGAGCAATGCTATGACCTTACACGCAGACAGCTATTCACATCTAAAGAATTATTTTCATACACACCATCTCATTAGATCCTTTTAAAGCCCCTGGAGAAGGGTAGGATAAATGACACTATCCGTTTCAGAGTTCAAGAATCTGAGGTGTAGATATGGGTCTTTCCCACGGTACCAGGGCAAGTACCTTTTTTAGAGAACAGGATTAGAATTCGGGTCATCTGACTCCTGGTTCAGGGTTTCCCCCCAGGATTCCTCCTTCCTTGGGTTCCAGGGAAGGACTGGAGGGGGGCGGTCTGTAGGGATGGAGATGGAGGCGGCAGGATATGACTGACACTTACACAACCTGTACTCCTTCTGCTTCATTAACCATTTTATCCAACACTAAGGAGGCTTGGGAGTGGCAGAGATATTTCCCTGACCAACAGAATGAATTTTCCATCAGTGCCTATATTAATGGAACAGCCCTCTTTTCCTTTCTGCGCCAGTTTCTGTTGGCAGTTCATTCATAGCCTGTTCCCTTTACTCCAAGAGCAAAGTAAATATCCTGCACTTTAAAAAATTTGATGAAAATACAAAATGAAATAGCAACAATGAAAATATGTGAAACTATGTGCACCTGGCACAACAGACTTTGCAATCTTCCTCCACCAATTGGAGAGCAATATAAAAATCATAGTTCTTAATTTAATGGAAAACGCCTCCTAATCATCTTGAAGCAAAGACTTCAGTCTATATAAAAACTAAGAAGATAATTTCAAGATTTTTACTAAATTCTTGGGTTCTTACAAATTCTGTGGTGGTAAGAGAAGGAGTAGACAGTAGAGTAAAAGGCACTGAAACAGCAAAAAGAAAATAATTATGGTCACAAATGAGCAAATGAGAAATCTGTTATCTCTTCCCTGTCATTAATACATATAACTAGAAACTATCCTGCTGCCAGGAGATCCTCTCTGTATTTAACCAAGATGTTAATACAAATAGCATGAGCTATTCAGACACTAAGCAAACAGTGTTTAATTTTAGGAGTTAAGGGGAAGGCAGTCAACAATAACAAAATCATTTCTCCAAACTACCCAAATGCCACTAATGACCAATGGTATTCTTGCTATATACTATAAGTAAATTATCATTTATTGTGCCTTCCCTCTCTCCTTTTGAGATGTTTCTAAAATCAAGGTGGATTACATGCATTTTTTAAGGTAGCTGAAGAAAAAGGAGGTTAACAAAAGCCAGTAAGAATTAGAAAACATACTAAGTTCATCTTATTTTCAAAATTCAACAGCATGTGGCTGGCTATGGTACAAGTTGTTGCTGTTCCCCCCCCCGCCTGGTGTTGGTGAGTAGTGTTCTCTTTATAGGTGATTTAGACAGAAGTTAATGGCTTTTTAAGACACTTGCACATATACTGGGCTGATGTGCATACACATATGTATGCATAGAAATACATACACACATATGTGTACCTCATCACATCACATAAAGACCTCCACTAATATGTTTTTCCCTCTTCACATATTTTGATTAGCAAAAATGAGCATGGATAATGATTTTATAGTCGGAAACAAATCTAATGAAAATCAAATCAGAAAATGTGAAGTGGTATGCTGTCAGAGTCCAATACAATAAGTCAATGCACATTTATGTAGTGGTAAAGTGCTAGAAAGTTCTTTCATTAGTATTTTAAAAATGATTATAGTAAAAAGGTTACAGTTTCATTTGATGGTGGTGACCACAGGCACCATGGCAATGGCACTGGCTGAGTTGGAATTGATGATGTCCTCATACTCTGGGGGTGGGTCTAAATGAGGTTCTGTTTCACTCCTCCGGAGGGTCACCTGGCCAGTGGCTTCCTCATAGGTGGGTGGAGGATCGCAGTTGGATAGGCGAGTGGAGACAGAATCTGAGCGCCCAACTACATATTCCAGGAAGCCTGGCGACAATCCACTGCTATCAAACACTTCATCTGGTGGGGGAGGCGGAGTGATAATATTAAGGTGCTGAGGGAAAGGAATGTGGCCTTCAGTTACTGTCTGTCTGCGAGTTTTGTTTCTGAGGAAGCATCTCCAAATTAGGAAAATGACAAGAAGGATAATGAAGAGGCCAAAGATTAATGGGAAGGTAAGGTAAAACTGAAACCAGTCACTTCCTCGGTTACTCTCTCCTTGTTGGGCTTTTGTGTAGGTGTTCCAAAACTCCTTCTGAAAATAAAAGACATATTAAAAATCAGTATGATCAAAAGATGGGAAATATCAAAAGAACCAATGTCTGGATGCTCTTAACATAATGACCCAAAAACCAAAACCAGATTTGTTGGTTCAAAGGACCTACAGCCTATATATTTCATGACAAGAAATGAGAAATAAGTCAAGTTACAGTGTTCATTCTGGATCCTCTGTAAAATGGTCAGTCAGAACCCAAGAATCTTTTCAAGCCTGGGGAGTTAGTTATGTTTTCAGCTATGACCTTTTCTTTTTTTTTTTTTCCTTTTCTT